AAAAGAAGCCAGAAGTTTGCCATCTTACTGGTGGGGACCCTTCATAAAGTATCATTCTTCTTTTGATTTTTCCCAGCCATTTAAAAATGTGAAAACAAAAATATGTAATAACCATTCTTAGCTTGTAGTCTGTATAAAACAGATGGTGAGCTAGATTTAGCCCATGGGCCTTGATTTGCTGACCCTGGTCACTAACATGTAATGCATGTCACTCTGAAAGTAGGTTAGATACTAGAGGGATTGTACCCATGTAAAAGGAAAACAGATAAACACAAAATAACCAAAACAATGACAGTATTTCTTATCGACTCCTTCGCTTACCCAAATTTCCCTGTATTTTTTGCTTTTTTTTTCCTCTTCTAGGCTACTTGGTTGGGACTGAATGTTTTCTTGTTTGTGCATGCCTTTCTGTCCTATGAGAGGGCTGACCAGTACTACTACACAAGAGAAATCTTGGCGATGAGTATCACAGTTGTGATATGGGAATCCCTTCTTTATTCTTATCTCTGAGTCTGGCTCCTTTGAAACCCAATGCCCTCCAGGGATACGGTTGTCAGAAAAAAACAGGATGCCCAGTTAAATTTGACTTCCAGAAAATGAACAAATCATTTTTTGGGTGTAAGTATATTTCAGATATTGCATGGGACATTGGTATACTAAAAGAGTATTAATTTTTTAAAAATCTGAAGTTCAAATTGAGTTGAGTGTGCTGTGTTTTTGTTCACAAAATCTAACAGCCCTATCTAGGGCACACTCCCCAGGTGTAACAATGAAAATAGTCAGTAAACTATTAAGCAGTGGTTTTCAAACTGGCTCCACAGAAACTCAGATGCTCCTTCAGGGTGTGAGGGGAAGGCGGTGCTCCTGTCCTTCAACCGAAGCAGCCTTTATCTGCCTATGGATTCCTGCTTATGATTTTAAGAAAGAGTCTGGTTAAAAACAATCAACCAACTTAAAAACGATTGCTGTAGACCAATCTCATAGAAAAACACCCCCTATCAAATGAGAGGGATACTTAGGGGGGTCTGGGCTGTAGGTGGTAAAGCAGAACACAAAGCCTGCAGAAAGGCAAGGTCAGGTCAGAGAATAGGATGAGAAGGCTGGGCAAGTGGCAGATCAAGTATAGAATAGGAAGGATAGGGGGTAAATAGGGCACAATGGTGTGGAAGTGACCAGGAGGAAGCATGGAGGTGAGAATGATTCTCTCCCAGGCTCATCAATCCAGCCACTATCTGGTTAGAAAAGCAAGTTTGACTGCTGATTCTGGTCAGTTATTCAGTAACAGGTAAGGTATTTGTTTAAATCACTTTCATCTTGACAGTGCCTTTTTATTGTTAGCTTTTCACAAAGGCGTACCCAATGTACAAGTTTAAAGACAGATTGTCCTTTAAAAAAATCCTTTTCTCTCCATAATCAAAAGATCCATGTTGACAGCGCAACTAATTTGAATGTTCTATTCATGTTCTAAATAGTCCTGATGTTTTACATCATAAATGTTGGTCCTTGATCCTTTTCTGGTAACTATAACTCCAGAGGAAGTGTTAATTTGTTTTAAAAATAGCTTATTATTAAGAGAATGTTGCAATAAATGTGACTAGTTATTAGGAGCTGAAATGTTTTATGACCAAAAAGTCAGCAGCAGAAAAATGAGTCATGCTGATATCCTGTGGACAGTTTTTTAAAAAAATCCTCTCCATTAAAAAAATTAACTATGAATAATGTTGGTTTCAATGAGATCAAAAGATATGAAAGTGTATAAGTAACATCTGAAAACTGCCCTCTTATCCCATTCCCCACATATAACCACTGTTAATAGTTTGCTTTGTGTGTTTAGATAGACATGCTGACATATGCTCACAATCTAGGAGATGTATAGATTCTGTTTTTGTTTCTGAGGTAGGTACGTGCTATTCTTATTCCCTTTTTAATTTCCTGTATATAGTAAGATTCGCACTCTCTCGGTAAACCATTCTATGAGCTTTCATAAACACATTCAGTAAGACACAGGTTTTTGCTTCAATCAAAATAGGAATCACACTGTAGATACTGGCTGGAAATTGCTTCTTACCCTTAATGGATCTCAAATATCTTTCTATGTGAGTATGTAAGCAGTGATGTGCTAGAGCCAGCTCATACCAGCTTGCAATCAATAACCAGCTGCGTGTATCTCTTCCCAACCCCACGTTCAGTGGTGTTCAATGACATTAAATTGCTATCTTGAAATCTGTCATGTGGGAGTATTTGCATCATGTAAATTGTCAAATGCTGGAAATCAAGACTACCACATCTCCTGAAAGCTGGTTGTTAAACATTTACCACCTCTCCACCACTGCATATAGTTCTCATCCTTTTAAGAGCATAACAGTCCATGGCTCTGATGTGCCATAACTTTTTTAATCATTCCGTAGGTTATTTATTAAGTTCCTGCTTCCTCTAGGAAAACACGGTTATTTGATTCACTTTGAATCAGAACAAATAAGTAGCAGAGAAAGAGGAAGGAGTTTAAATCTATGGTCTATGAAGCCTTAATGATAACAACAGCTGAATTAGAACATCGGTTAGCATTGATGTTGGAAAGTGAACATAAATTGGGGTATTTCAATGTGCAGCAAAGGGGAAAAAAGATTTGCTCTATAAAGAATTCATCCCATGCAGATAGCCCACACTGAATATGGCACTGTGAAATTATAGTCCTATATTTTCAATCCTCTTGCTGATTTTAGCTTTAAGACATATCTGTGACTCAAAGAAACAAGCTGTGGGACCAATGTGGAAATGCATGATCTTAGAGTTAAGTAGAGAAAATTTACTCAGAAATGGAACAGGCTGTTTCTACAGAAAACAATCAGAGTGTGACTCAGCAGAGGGAGAAAACACAGGTCATGTGGAAAAGTCAGAAATGAAAAACAGTAGGGCAGCTCTTGTTCACTGCACCGCTTGACATTGTAAGCCATTATCGACACTAGGGAGATCTTAACCTGGCTGATTAAACTGAGGTCACATTGTCCTGGGCTTAGGTGTATGGAAAAATAGTGTTTGTGCCAAAACGATTATTAGAAAAAGACCAAGAAATTGTTAATTCTGACCCATATTCTTCCTTTTAGCAAGTCACCGACAGGCACACATGTAAGGCTGGCCAGTCAGCTAAAGTGCAATAAAAATTGCCTGGCTGCCCCTACCACCTCCACTGCTTGCAGTCTCAAGTGCATGGAGCTGACTCAGACACCCATGGTACAGAGTGAGAAGTCAGACTTAGGTACCATGGAGTTGAGCAGAGTCTGTCCGGCCTATACCTAATTAGGCCTGTTTCTGGGCTCAATACTTCTTTGAATTACTAATTCAATTCCTTGTCTCCTTTTCTAGCAGCTTCTATTGCTGTATCAGATCGACACTGATGTATGCTGGCCACCCAAGGAAATCAGTTTGAAATTGTGTTCTCAGATGTTCTCCCTTCTCATATCTCTACCTAAGTTTCAAATGTTTGGTCTGAGGGGTTCACTAGGTGTGCCTAGACTTTATTCAATAATCAAAGACATCTTAAATAAAATGGTTATTTTTTTATTGTTTTTATTATATGATTATTACACACTTCTAACTGTAACAGAAGATAGAAGGGAAAAAAGAGTCACCATCTATAATTATACCTCTAAATATATAAGCTTTATTTAAAATGCAAATAATGGGAATGCTAACTAATTCAACCATTGTGGAAAGCAGTATGGAGGTTCCTCAAAAAACTACAACACCATTTGACCCAGGAATTCCACTCCTAGGAATTTACCCTAAGAATGTAGGATCCCAGTTGGAAAAAGACATATGCACCTCTATGTTTATCGCAGCACTATTTACAATAGCCAAAATGTGGAAACAACCTAAGTGTCCATCAGTAGATGAATGGATAAAGAAGATGTGGTACATATACACAATGGAATATTATTCATCCATAAGAAGAAAACAAATCCTACCATTTGCAGCAACATGGATGGAGCTACAGGGTATTATGCTCAGTGAAATAAGCCAGGTGGAGAAAGACAAGTATCAAATGATTTCACTTATCTGTGGAGTATAAGAACAAAGAAAAAACTGAAGGACAAAACAGCAGCAGACTCACAGAACCCAAGAATGTACTAACAGTTACCAAAGGGAAAGGGACTGGGAGGATGGGTGGGAAGGGAGGGATAAGGGGGATAAAGGGGCATTACGATTGGCATGTATAATATAGTGGGAGGGACACAGAGAAGACAAGCAGTGATTCTATATAGCATCTTACTACACTGATGGACAGTGACTGTAATGGGGTATGTAGTGCGAACTTGATAATAGGGTGAGTCTAGTAACCATAATGTTCATGTAATTGTACATTAGTGATAGCAAAAAAGAAAGAAACTTATATAAATAAGTAACTAAATAAATACACAGCAATGTTAAAATAAATAAATGCAAATAAAAATATATATGATCCTCAAGATTGTTTAGAAATGACAAATAAAACATAATTGAGTGCATTAAGCAAAAATACTTGTTGCAAAGTATTATATCCATAGAATGTTGTTTGTATTTGAAATCCAGAGAGTCAAATCCTGTTCTCTTTCATATTCATAAATATATAGTCAAACATTTCCAAGCCACTGTCATGGGAATTTCTCAATTCAATATTAAGTTCAGCAAATTTTCTGTTATTTGCAAACAGAGCTTAGACTGATAGCTCTAGCTACTGAGAAAGAGGGGAGGCAGCTGCAGCCCTGTCCATTCCTTCCTTTCAGATGAGAAGAGTGAGCCTATGCTCACCTGTTGGATGGTGATACAAAGCACCTGAAGGACTCTTCTCTCCTTTGCTCCAGTTGGCATTGGCCTGGGTCTGAGCCTCTGCTCACTGCCTGAATTTTAACAGTATGCTGATCCTGCTTCCTGTGTGTTGAAATCTGTTGTCCTCCCTGAGAGGCACCTGCCCAGTGAGTTCCAACCACTCATAGGTCAACTTGCAATTAAAGACAAGAGACCCTGGACTCCTCAGTAGGACAGCCCAACACCAAGCCCCTGGGCATGGAAGCCAGAGGTCTCCTTTGGTAGCCAAGGGGGTGAGCAAGGGCGGGTGGTGTTGGCATACCGTGTGTGGCCATGTTGATTATGGCCTAATGAATTTCCTAAAGCTGCCTGGAGACGCCTGACCTTGATCACTTTAAATTGGTAGTTTTTCAGGCACACCCTGAGGAAGCAACTGGATCAAAGCCTCACCTTCCACAAGCTGGTGGCATATATGTTACAAACAGGTGACAGAGGCAAACCACAAAACTGCAGGCTCCTGGGCATTCACAGTCTAGTTTCATTCATCCATGCATGTAGACATTCAAAAAATATTTATTGAACACCCAGCAGTATTTGCCAGGTACTGTTCTTGGCCGATTTTGATAGAACTTAAATGCTCTTCCTTTGGGAACACAGTGAGTATAAAAAATCTCTTGGTTTCTCTGCAGTCAGGGTTTGTTGGGCCCCTTCTGTAGACTCAGCGTTCTGCTAGACACTATATAGCATTCTCCTTTTCTAGTGGGATATGCCTGCCATTATGTTCCTGGGTACCTCTCACATTCCTTTCCATCTTTCCATTTAGCTAGCCACATCAGTGCACACCTGTTCAACTTTGAACGATACAGCAGAAGCCGGCAGACCACTGATGGATCCCTTGCATCTATTCTCTCCAGCCTATCTTATCAAGAGAAAGAAGGGGATTCTTGGTTAAATCCTGTCCAGTCCCTGAACATGGTAAGTTGACTCAACGGCAAAGCATCTGGGATCTGGTCATAAGCAGGAAGGGCATGACATCCTTGGTGGACATTGTGCCAGGCTGAACTTTCTCCTTTCATAGACAGTGGAATATGTGACATTCACCAGCATTGCTGGTCTCACTGGAGTGATCATCATAATAGCTCTGGTTCTTATAGTGACTTCAGCTACAGAGTTTATCTGGAGGAGTTATTTTGAGGTCTTCTGGTATACACACCATATTTATATTATCTATGTCATTGGTTTATGGATTCATGGCATTGGGTAAGGTCCTTGAACCCCCATTCTCATGTACTAGCCCCAGCCCTTGCACAGTTCTTTGCCACAAACTGTCCTTCTTTGTCTGTATCAGTGGAATTGTCCAGGGTCAGACGGAAGACAGCATGAATGAGAGTCACCCTTACAGGTGTGAGGAGTCTTTCATGAACTGGATGATCATAACTCCTGCTGCAAGCATCCCCAGTTTGAAGGGCTCCCTGCTGAGGTAAGAATCCTATGAACAAGGAGAGACTCTCTTTAGGAGCTGTTATAGTTATTGCTGCTGCTATTGCTCTCATTGTTATTACCATTATTAGCTCAGCCCTGTGCTGGGTCCTGTAGAAGATATATTCACAGTGTTGCTACCATCAGGGAACCCTAATATCACTGGTAACAGGCTAGGGAGTTGTCATCAGCAGGGCATCCTGAATAAGAAGGACAAATAGTCACTGCGTGTTGTGAGACCCTCTCCAAAGGTCATGGTGATAGTGCATGTTATTAATAGTGTTTACCATGTGCCCAGTTTGCTGTGAAAAATGGGTCATGGCAGCTATACATAGCAATAACCTATGAGGTAGTACTTTTTGGTCTCAGTTTTTAGATAAAAGGACTAAGATTGAGAGAAATTAAGCAAACTGTCAGCTCTCACATTGAGTAACTAATGGAACTGTCTAGCCCAGGCCTCTTAGATTCCAAAGACTGCGCTCTTGACCATTGTACTGTCCCCAAACTTAGCTCTAAAATCCTGGCCAGCCAGAGGAAGGGAGCATTCTTTTGCTTCCAGGTTTATTGAAGGATAATAGACAAATGAAATTGTATATATTTCAAGTGTACAATGCAATTAATGATGGATATATACTTTGTAAATGATTACCACAATGAGGTTAATTAACACATCCATCCCCTTACATAGTTACTGTGTGTGTGCGTGTGTGTGTGTGTGTGTGTGTGTGTGTGTGTGTGTGGTGAGAATGCTTAAGATCTACTCACTTTGTGAATTTCAGTGTACTATACAGTATTATTGATTATAGTCACCATACTGTACATTAGGTCCCCAGAACTTAGTCATCTTATGACTGGAGGCTTGTATCCTTTGACCAGGTAATTAACATGCCCCCTGGTTAACCACCTTCCTACCCTCTGTTTCTGTGAGTTTAACTTTCAAAACAAAAATTCTTGAAGTCAGCTTTATTTAGTGGTGTAAGAACGTGCTTGGGAATGATTGTTAGCTGGTGGGCAACTAAGAAACTGGGTTTCAGGCAACTTAAGGTGTGCCTCAGGGTAATTATCTTGGATATCATGGTTTATCCTTGCTTGCTCATAAAATGTGTTAGATTGAGGAGTAAATGAAATGGAACGTTTGACTGTGGTGCCTCAAAGTGCTCAGAGGATGAGTAAAGTCTTTAAATCAGATGCAAAATTAAGAGCAATAGCTCAGTCCTCATCTCAAAAGGGAAAAATAGCTCTAAAAAAAGTCCCCTAAAGTTGGCATTTAAAATCAGTGGGAAAAAAATACAAAAATGAAAAAAGTCAGTGGGAAAAAAAGATTATTCAATATTTTTTTGTATAATTGGATAGCAATCTAGGAAAACAAGCTGTATATTTGTTTAATACTTTACATTAAAATATGGATCAAGGATGCATAGATTAAGGATTTAAATGTTTAAAAAAAAAAGAGAAAGAAGTCATAAAAGCACCCTAAGACCACATGGGAAATTTTTTTCTACTATTGGAGTGTTAGTATAAGTACTCTCAAATAAGATTAAAAGAACTTCATAGTTCCCTTTCCTCCAGAAAAGGAATATAAATATATTCCTATAAAAGTAAATAAATAGTTTCATGGCAAAAAACCCATCATAAATAAAGACAGGTGACAAATGACTCACAGAGCATGTACTCATTTCCCAATATATAACTAACTCCTATAAATCAGTAAGATAAAGCCTAACAACCTGATAAAAAAAGATGCAGAAGATATGAACAGAATCATCACAGAACAGAACATCAATTGTATTGAAATATGTTAATCTTAACAATACGAAATGATGCTTAATATTATTCATAATGGAACAACTGCAAAATAAAATTACCTTAAGATTTTTTTTTAACCCAACAGATTAGCAAAGATTAAAAAGTTTGCTCATGGGCTGTGTAGGCAGTGCTCTCATGCATTGCTGGTGAGAGTGGAAACCTATACAATTGCTTGTAAAGGTGATTTGGCAGTATTTACCAAACTTTAAAATTCTACGTCCAGAAGTTTATTCTAAAAGTATACTTGCTTATGTGTTAAGTTACATGTGTTGGGTTATTCATTATAGCATTGTTTGATAGAACAAAAGATTGGAAATAAGTGCCATCATGAAGGGACTAGTTAAATTATAGGACTTCCTTGCAATGGAATTCTCAGCAGCCATTAAAAAGAAAGAGGCAGATCTGTAGGTACTAGTATGGACTGGTCACTGAGACGCTGAATGAAGACAAAGGAAGATCAATGTGTATAGCCTGCTACCATTTGTACTTAATGCAATGTTATCACTTGAATGTATATTCTCCTGAAGGATTCACAAAATAGTAACATTGATTGCCTCTGGGAAGCTGGGGGACAGGGATGGAAGGGAGATTTAGTTTTGATTGTATACCTTTTTGTACTTCTGAATTTTGTGCCATGTGCATGTATTACCTATTTTAAAATTAATTTTAAAAGGACATACCTGGCGTATGTTAACAGCACATTTCATTTCTAAAGTCAGAGGAACTTGTAAACTATAACCAGAGACTTTCTGTATTATTTGACCAGTAGACAAGAGGCCCTTAAATACAGGAAGATATAAAGCTTGATGAGCCCCTTTCTAGCCAAGGCAGTTAATCCCATCTTACCTTTTATATCAGCTCCATCTTTTCCCCAACAATTATTTGAGATAAAGTGTATTTGGCTTCTTCGGAGGTATACTTGAAACTCAGGCATTACTTTGATTGGTCACATAATAACCCAAGGGAGAGAATACTAGTTTTTGCCATCTGTTTGAATTTATTGGTGTGTTTCTTTCATAAATATTAAAAAAATTCTCTCAACATTCTCCCTAAAAACAAAATTACACTTATTTTTTGTAGAAAGTTTGGAAAACACAGAAAAATATTTAGAAGAAAATTAAAATCTCAACAGTTCTATCACCTAGAGGTAATAATTTTTTTTCTCATAATCTGTATCATGGATGCTTTCCTCTGTTGTCAAACATTTTTCTGAAACATTTGTTTTTAAAAGGCCGTATGCTATACTGTTTTTGTCATTTTTTTTTCTACATGGTCATTTTTAATGACTTTAAAGGCATTATGCTAAGTGAAATAAGTCAGATAGAGGAAGATAAATACTGCATGATTTCACTTATGTATGGAATCTAGTAAAAAAAAATCCCAGTAAGTTCATAGATGCAAACATATGAATAAGTTCATAGATTGGTGGTTACCAGAGGTGGGGTGTGGGTGGGTGAAATGAGTGAAGGGGGTCAAAAGGTACAAACTTCCGGTTATAAAATAAGTAAGTCATGGGGATGTGATGTTTAGTATGGTGACTATAGTTAATACTGTATTGCATTTTGAAAGTTGCTAGAGAATAGATCTTAAAAGTTCTCATCAGAAGAAAAAATTGTTACTATGTACGGTGACAGATGTTAACTAGACATTGTGGTGATCATTTTGCAGCATATACAAATTTCAAATCCTTATGTTGTATACCTGAAACTGATATAATGTTTTATACCAGTTATATCTCAATGCAAAAAAAAATTAAAAATTTAAGAAGACAGTTTGGTATTGGCTAAAAAAAGTTTGTGTGGCTTACCATTCGTGTCAATTTTTTCTTAGTCAATAATGTGGCCTTTACTGTACTCATATGCCTTGTGCGCACCTTAATTGTTTCTTTATGCTCCATTTCCTAGAAGTGAAATTTCTAGGTCAAAGAGAAGGAATGCTTTCAAGGCTGTTGAGAAATTGCTCTCTGGGAAGATGCTACTAATTTGAACTTCCACCAACTGCACACATAATGTGCCCATTTCCCTGCATCCCAGTTAATGGTGTGCATTAATGTTTAAACTTGTTTTCCAACTTGAGAGGCTAAAATTCTATTCTGTTTTAATATTCATTTCTCTGATTACTTCTGAGGTCAAAACTGTTTTCCACGTTGTTATTAGCTATTTCTAAAATACGTATTTTTTCATGTCTGCTGAATTCAGCTTGGGATTTTCCCAAAAAGGAGCAGCATCAAATTGTAAAATGCACACTCTCAGGTTCCCTAGCCCCATCTCTGCCTCTTTCCTCCTGAGAGATACCCAAGGAAATTAATTACCTGCCTTAATCAGCATATGAAACCTCATTCCACACAGTTCTGATGTATCACGCTCGAGCAATCATGCGACGGAGGACAGGACTCAGTACTGCTGGAAAATACATTTTTAGTAGCTCCTGCACATATGGGAGCAACCTGCTACCTTTGAGAACATCTCAGGGAGGGAAAGGGTGCTTTAAAAAAATATAGAAAGACAAAAAGTATATTACTATGTAAGGTGTTTCTAATACCTGAGAAAAGAAGTGATGTGTAAATACCAAGTTTTATATATCGTTGCTGTCAATAATGCCAGCCAAATTCTTTCCATGTTTTGTTAGTTTTTTAATCATCTGCTTCTATTTCACATCTACGTTCTCTTTTGGTTTTCACATTGGACAAGTGATCCTGGAAGACAGTCTTAAATTCTTAAAATACAGTTTTACCTTTATATAAGTTTAAGAATATACATATATTACATATACTTACCACTTATTTTATTTTTGTGCTTTTCTTTTGCTTCCTGATGAGACCTGTAAGACTTCAGGAGATTATCTGCTTTATGAGAAACAGGTCAGCAAATAAAACCATTGTAATTTATTCCTTTCCATCTCTGTCCTCAAGAACTGGTGAAATTAGAGGCTTAATAATGATACACATCAGATAGCTCAATAAATTTTTATTGAATGAAGGAATGAACTGCTACACAAATAAATCCTAAATGAGAGATTAATGTGTAACCTCCATTATTCTGTCCCTGCACAGTCTTGGAAGTGGATCCTTACACCAGGCATTCTTTGTATCTTTGAAAGGATCCTCTGATTTTATTGCTTCCAACAGAAGTTTGTGATTACCAAGGTAAAGGATGTGCACTTTCCTATTGCTGTGACAACAGTTCTGGTCTTCCTCATTATAGAAATGAACTGCCATGGTGTCACCCAGAAGGAAAAAATAAAAAGAACATGGGGACAACATACTCCAGTTTCTCTAGTGCTACACACAACTATGGGAAAGAGGGACTTGGCCCATCTCATCAGCATGTTTGATTGCTGCAAACAGGTGGCCTGCATCAGGACTAGCCCACAGGCATATTTTGTTTGGCCTACATGATGATTGTTTTGAAAGTCAAATTGGTTGCTAATATTTAAAAATCTGAACAGAGGGTTTCACATTTAAAAATGGCATTTCTACCTTCTCTGGAGGAATCAGGCCCCCTGTAACACTGAGTCAGAGTTCTGTAGTACAACCACTGTCTAAGTAACTGGACTAAGCAACTAAGGGGACTAGGTAACTGCTGCCTCCTTCAGAAAGGACTTGTGCTCAAGGCTCACCACCATCACCAGACTCCAGCTTCACTCGGTTATTTCATCTGCCAGCCCCTGCCACCATTTTAATTTACCTCCTTTGGCCTCTGTGCTCATTTGTAGGTTGTCATACACCTATCCAAAGTTTTGGAATTGCAGATGAAGAAGCATGGCTTCAGCATGAAAGTGGGACAGTATATTTTTGTTAATTGCTCCTCAATCTCTTACCTGGAGTGGCATCCCTTTACTCTGACCTCTGCTCCAGTGGAAAACTTCTTCTCCATTCATATCTGAGCAGTGGGAGACTGGACAGAAAATCTCGTAAGGGCTTTTGAACAACAGCAGTCACCAATTCCCAGGTAAGTTCTTGAGAGCAGCAGAGCCCCCGAGCAGGCAGAAAAGAAAAACAACGAGGAAAGCAATTCCTTGTTGAACCTTAAGTCTGGTACTATGAGTAAAATAAACAGGCAGAAATCAGCCATGGGAACAGCTATGGCTCTGGGAGAATGTTTGAGGTTTGGGGTGGATGTGAGATTTCACATGTCCATTGTCTTCTGTCTTCTGCCAGGATTGAGGTGGATGGCCCCTTTGGCCCTGTTAGTGAAGATGTTTTCCAGGATGAAGTGGCTGTGTTGATCAGAGCAGGAATTGGGGTCACCCCCTTTGCCTCCATCTTAAAGTCCATCTGATACAAATTTCAGCATGGAGATCGCAACCTCAAAACACAAATGGTACACTCCTACATACTGCTTTTCATCTGGTCTCGGTCTGACACGCCCACTGCTTTCATGGGCTAAGCTCTGTAACATTGATAAGAAAGTAACCTTTCCTGCAGTTGGGAGAGTGAGTGATCACTTCTCAGCCAAGGCAGCCACCTCTACAGATTCACCATAAGAACAGGGTCTTCATTTTTAATTTGGAGTTTAAAATCACCTTGAACCAAAGATGACATTGGACGTCTCTGTCCATAAGGGAAGTTGTCCGAACTCTGGACATTCATGCTGCCTAAGGTCTGCTGTTCTGTAGAGGTGATTTTTCAGGTCAACCTCAGACTTGATCAACAAATAGGGAGATTGTATACATAATCATGTCACCACAATGCACATCCTAAAGGCACTTAATCAGGCTGTGTTCTCTCTTGCTGATTCCAGATCTATTTCTACTGGATCTGCAGAGACAGGTGCCTTTTCCTGGTTCAATGACCTAATGGCTTCTCTGGAATGGGAGAAGGAAAAATTAGGCAAAGTGGGTTTTCTAAACTACCATCTCTTCCTCACTGGATGGAACAGCAGCATTGTGAGTTTAAATAGCATACTAATTCCCACTGAGATGTAAGATGAATGTCAGATAAGAGTAGTGCATGCTGATTGGAAATAATTATTCTTTTTGATTTCTTTCCTGCCCTCACCCTCACACCAAAGTTTTTAAGTGGCTGAAGGAAAAGGTAGCTATCAGGACATGCTTTTTCCAACTTGTTATCTCTCTGACTCCAGGCCAGTCATGCAGCATTAAACTTTGGCAAGGCCGCTGACATCCTGACAGGTTTGAAACAGAAAACCTCCTTTGGGAAGTGTATGTGGGACAAGTTTTCTACAATAGGTACCATCCACCCCAAGTAAGTGTATTCTCCTCCAGTTAGTTGAATTTGCAGACTTAGGGTTTAGGAAAAGTATTACAGCATGTTGAATACTTTTGGGAAAAGATCTCTGGGGCAGAAACTATTTGAACCATTCTTAGATTCTTGCTTAAAACTGAGGAAATTTCATCTGAGGTTTTAGCCCAGTAAGAGTCATGTTCTTGTAGTTATGAGAAGATGTTTGTTACCTCCACAAGCCCCCACTGAACAGGGAGGCAAGGGGACTCAGTTCTGGTCTGTATTACCAAACAAAATAGAGAACTGGAACCATTCAAATGCCTTGTTCTGGGCCTTAATGATCTGGACTTAAGTAACAAGGGTCTGGAGTGTATTATCTAGTTAACTGATGTACTGACCCAGGTCTTTCTGAGGGGAGGGAGTGTTGAGACATACTAGAGTCTATAGGAAAACCTGATGTCATGAAGTCAGCCTTTCTGATGGGAAGGAGAATTAGGCTGATCATGTTACAGAAATTTCCAGAACAAGTTGGCAGGTGAAGATCAGTTCAATCCCATTAACACTGTTACATTCTATAAGCTCAGCACTGGCTATTCTAGAGTCTTTGGATATTGAAGGAGAAACAGGATATGGTTCTTGACCTCAAAGAGAATACATTTTAATAAAAGATGCATACAACCAACTGAAAGCAGAATGATGCACTCCATGAAACAGGTACATGCACACAGAGGGAAGGAAAGTCTGTGCCCACACGGGGTGATCAGGAAAGGCTTCAAGAAAGCAGTGGAGAGAACATTTGGTGACTGGGATGCAGATGATTCTGGGTCCTAATGCTAGTTCTGACACTTTCCGCTTCTGGGACCTTGAGCTTCAAAATGCTCTGATCTTCAGATTCCTCATCTGTAAAATGGGTGTTATATTAGTAAGTGTCTACTCTTCTTCCTTGCAGGATGGTCGTGGATATTAAGTGAGACAATATATGAAAAAATGCTCTGTAAACTGTAAAGCAACATATAAGCAAAAGAGATTATGTTAATTATTGTGTCGAGTGCAGTTGAAGTTGTGAGAATAGAGGAGATTGCTGGGTGAGAGAGAGTGGCAGAGTGCAGAGTATGAAGGAATGCTTATGTTATGTGGGGAGGGGGTGAAATGATGAGAGTGTGGAGACACGGTGTCAGAGAACCCAAGAGAGGAAATAGTAGTGGGCTGGATCAGCAGTGCTTGGGGAGTGGCAGGGCCCAGGAAATGCTTGTTTAGCTTAGGGATGAACTAAGTATATTTGTAGACAGAACAGGAGTCAGTAGACAGGAATAAAATAAATGTACAAAAGCGGAGAGAGGACTAGGATGGCCATAATAAAAGAGGGGCGATAACAAAAGCTGGTGAGGAAGTGGTGAAGTTGTGGGAGGGTCCCTCCTACACTGCTTGTGGGAATGTGAAACAGTACAGTGCTTGGCGAACACTGGCATTCCCTCAAAAGGTTCAATGTAGTTACCTACCACATGACCCAGCAATATCACTCCTAAGTATATACCCAAGAGAAATGAAAACATACGTCCACACAAAAACTTGTACATGAATGTAAGCAGAAGAGCCCAAAACTGGAAACAACCCACACGTCCATCCACAGATGATGGGGTAAACAAAATGTGGTAAACTCACACAATGGAGTATTATTCAGAAATAAGAAGGAATAAAAATACTCATACATGCTGCAACATGGGTGAAACTTGAAAAAATAGTATGTCAAGTGGAAGAAACCGGACACAAAAGGCCAGATATTGTATGATTCTATTTATATGAAATGGGCAGAAGGGGCAAATCTAGACAGAAAGTAGATTTGATTGCTAGGGCTGGGGGCAGAGGAGGTTGGGGAAATGGGAAGTGATTGCTAATATGTACTGGGTTTCTTTTGGGGATGATGAAAATGTTCTCGGGTAGTGTTTACGGTTGCACAACTTTGTGGCTATGCTAAAAAGCACTTTTAAAAGGGTGAATGTTGTGACATGTGAATTATATCTCAAATAAAAGAGGGGAGAGGAAAGTATGAGAGAAGGGAGAGGGTGAGACCCAGAGCAAAGTTTGAAAGATTATCCTTGGTAAGAAGGGCCACCATCCCTTCAGCGTGAGAAATTTCAGAATCGGAATAGGCACACCCTGGATGGCTTTAATGGCAGCTAACAGATAAGCACTTGCTATGTGGCAGGCATTTTTCTAATCACTTTCCATATGATTTTCATTTAAACCTCAAAACAACCTTATGAGATGAGTACTATTTTTATCCTCATTTTATATGGGGGAAAACTGAGAGGTTAAAGGAACTTGCATGGAGTCACACAGCTGGTACAAGTGTCAGAGCTGGGGCTTGAACCCAGACAGCCTAGCTGCAAACCCAGCTCCCAACCACTATGGTGCATCCTGTCTCCTGGGGGTGTGTTCCCAGGTGAACAGGCCCAGCTGAGGGTTGAGAGCACAGCTGGGGTGTGCAAGCAGAAAAGACAAAGAAAGAACATGAAGGTGAGAGGGAGTCAACACCTGGCTTTTTATGCAGGGTTGCTGGGAGTAGCGGAGACCCTGCAGAGGCAGGTTCTCCATTCCCACCGTCAGCAGCCTTTGCTGCATCCTAGCCCTTACTGTTCTCTTCCTGCAGGTCTGAGGTAGGAGTCTTCTTCTGTGGGCTGCAGACTTTGGCAAGGAGCCTGTGAAAATGCTCTCACCAGTACTCCAGTCTCGATCATAGGAAGGTGCAATTCTACTTCAACAAAGAAAATTTCTGAATTAGAGGAATAAGGATGGTAATCTGTATTAGTCTCCCCCTAATTTCATCTTCAAAAACATGCTTGGTCTGATCAAGTGTGGGCAGCCACCTGAGGACAATCCTGTGCCTTGGTTCCTTGGCATTCTTTCTTGAGTGGATTCCACATCATCATCACCAAGCTTCATAAACCTAAGAACTTCAGAAGTCACAATAATTGCAAAGCCCATGGATTCTGTCTTGGGAAAATAGCTGTAAATCCTTTCGGAATGCCCATGACCGCCGCAAAGCCTGATAGTAGAGGTGGTGGACAGTTACACCATTTAACCCAGGATGATTCCAAGTGTTACCATCTCCTGGACTCTGGGTCATATTCTCCCCTCCCTCACACCCTCAAAGATGATTTCTAAGTAGGGTGATTTTTTTAAAATAAAAATTTATTGAAGAATAAATGACAAAACATAATAATAAACTTAAATAATAAAACAACATAAAATTACCAAGACCCCATCCCTATATAACACTATATACATTCTTACTGTTACTTTAAACATGGTCTTATCCAGTGTGAACAGCAATTTATGCTTTACTTATTTTTGTTTGCCAAAAAATGAAGGATTTTCTTCTTTGCTTAATGCTTAATGAATTAATCTTTTATTACTGTATCTAGGCTTTCTATTTCGGAAAGAAAACCTTGAAAGTATGCTATTGTAATTGAAATTGTATTACAACTGAAAGTCAACTATATTGGCATCAGTTTGCATTGTTGCAAGTAATTGCAAAAACCTTGAACTCCATCTTAGGATGACTGATTTAGTTAACAGAGGCTCCTTATCACCATATTTTTATTAAGGGGGTTATTAATTAATGTCTGGTTGTAAAAAAGATCACAAAATTTTAACATCTCTTGGGCTCCTATCTATTTATTCACTAAGGAATCATTCACCTAATGACAAACAAAATGCTTTTTCTATCAAAATTCTTTTTAATTCTCCCACTCACCTGGCTCTGGGACGTTAATAGTCATAGTGAATCAGAAGATTAGAAGGAAAGACCTTTAACAGAAGGAAAAAGCCCACGCATCATTGTGCCCAAAGACAATTCATCAGACCTGAAGTGTTGCTACAGAATTAGCATTATAGCAACTATTTCTCTACCACTAAAGGACCAAAAACTAATAAAAGGTTGTTTCTTATTATCCAGAAACCTCTATGACTTGAAGGATTAATAAGAGCAATTTTTTGTCACTAGTCTGAACAAGATAAAGGTAGATCATGATCATGGTAGGTAATTGTGTTCCACTTATTAATTGGACATCGGAAGAAAATACTAATGGATGTTTCCAAAGGAATTGATTGGGATACCCCTGGCTGTTGCTTATTTCCCAATTTCAGCTATCTAAGTTAAATTGAGTAAGACTCTAGGAAAATGCACAATGGAACCTTGATGATAGGGTTCCTATTAGACAACTGCTGAACAAATGATAATTTGACCTTCAATGACTTTTTGGTTTGGGATCTTAGGGTTTCTTGAAACTTTGAGTCCCTAATGAGAAAGAGGCTTCACCCTTGGTCTCAATGTCTTAAACATACTGACACTTCAAGATAGGACTGCTGCTAAAATCAAACTAGATACAGGCCTAGAATATTCAAGTTAGTAGGCAGAAAATGTAGTTAATATATCCTCTGCATAATCAACATCCAAGCCTGAATTGGGATGAGCAGGATACCAAATAAATCTTCTCAGCTGTTTTGAGCAAGTTTTTCATCCTAGGTTGTAAGATGAAGTATCTTATTCAGCAAATTTCTGTTATAGTGAATATTTATATATCAGAGTGGAAAATCCCTCAATTTCAATTTCTCTCATAAAGTTGATTATCTTTGCATTCTTTTGCTTGACATGTAAGCAATATGCTATTACATTCTCTAAGCCCATGGTGAGCTTTTAATTCACTTGACCATAATCCTAACCCAGAGAGTAGGATTCTGAGAATATAGATAGGTTCAAGTGTAGTTCCAGGGAAACTTTACTCATCAATTAAGGCACCTCTTAACCTCTTGAGGTTGGCCTGATGGAGGGAAATCATATTCCTCCATAAAGCCACTATGAGAGAGAATTCTAGGCAAGAGAGCCATGGAGCTAGTGGCACTAATTGTGATCATACTTAGCTGCAGTGGGCAACTTGACTGCTTGTGTTCTGTACTTGGTCCTCTTAAAATAAATGAGAATAATGTAAAAGTTTTATAGTTTTCTATGTTTGAATTTCCCAGAATAAATTTGGGTTAGGTTGCAGGTTAGTGACTATCCAGAAGGCAGGCTGAATGTATTCTGTTCGCTTGACTTCTGTTGTTTTTATTTCATCTTGAACATGTGAAAAATTAGTGATTTTTTAAACTTTTAAGGTTGACTACCTGAATTGAAGAGTTTTACAACAGAGAAGTAAATGTCAACAGTCTCTTGTGTTGCTGACACACATGAATCAGTGCTAATACAGAATCTTTGTCTTAACTCTGAACTCTACATGTAAATAGATCTGCTATTGACAAAAAAGTGCATTTTGATATTTGGATTTTTCTAAACTAAATATACTGCTCTGCTAGACTCTTTGTTTTGCTGGCTGTCTGACCATTTCCCATCTCTAAGTATGTGCTATTTTCTCCCAGTAGACTCAAAAGTTCTAACAAGTTCTCAAAGGGCAAATCTTACTATTCCTGCTAGAAGCAAACTGAACAAAAACTAACTTCCAGAAAACATTGCTTCTGAGAAATTTTCAAATATCACCAAGAACAAATGGTTAAAAGGAGAAATAGAGCTAAGGCAATAAAACATCAAAGTATTAATACTGCGATAAGGGTAGAAAACACATCTAAGGTTTCACCCTTGGTATTCAGCTTTTTAAAAGCAAATAGGTAGTGTATATTAATTTGCAGTATACTATAATTGTGTTCAAAATTTATTTCAAGTCACAGAAAATATACAAACTATGACAACAGAATGAATTGACTTTGTTCTGAGAGAAGGTGATGGGGGTCCTCCACCTGGCACCACTTTGAGTCATTCAAGAGTTAGGATGCAGAAGTCATCTTTTTTTGCAACATTTCAACAAAGTTATGGGATTAGTTTCCAGATTGTTGCCAGGTATTTTTGAAAACCTGTAAGGAAAAGTTGGGAGAAAGCCATTAGAAGTAAAGATGAAGTTCTCTTCCCTAAACACCAGGAAAAAACTTTAAAAGGTAGGGGAAGGGAGGCTATGCCTAAGAGCAAATCATCAGGGATGGATCCTAATGTGTCTGTCTCCTGCCTCCCCAAGATAATCATCCTTTACAGCAAGGTTTCTCAACAGCACTACTGACATCTGAGGCCAGATAACTATGTTAAGTGGGGGCTGTCCTGTGCCTTATAGGTGTTTAGCAGCATCTCTGGTCTCCAAGCACTGAATGCCAGTAGAACACCATACCCCCTAAAGTTGTGACAATTAAAAATGTCTCCAAACATTTCTATATGTCCTGTAGGGGGCATTGCCTCTGGTTGAGAACCACTGATCTAATGGTAATGGTAATGGTATATGAGCAAGTCAGTGACAGCAGAGATGGATCACAACTAGCAAGGTATAGGATGGAGAGAGAGCCAACATTTCAGCTACAGTATGAACAGATGTCAGGAAACACACATGAAAACTTCTGCATAAAATCATATGCAACTACATGCACACCACACACACACACACACACACACACACACACACACACACACACACACTAATGTGGGTTTTAAAAAAATGGGGAAAACTGAGTAAGGCCTATAGTCTAGTTAACCATAGTGTTCCAATGTCAATTTCTTGGTTTTGCACTACAAACCAAAAAGATATTTTTGTACAACAGCTTCTCAAGATGTTATCATGGGGGAAGCTGGTGGTAGGATACATGAGGCTCTTTGTATTATTTTTCCAATTTCCTGTGAATTTACATTTCAAAATAAAAGGTAAAATAAAAAAAAAAACTTGCCCTGTGGTATATGTGCAAGGCTTTGAAATGAGACATCTTACAAGCAAGAATACAAAATGAAAGAACTTTCAGAAGCATTTCTACCTCCACTATCCAAAAATGATACAGTTGACTCTTGAATGACACAGATTCGAGCTGTGTAGGTCTACTTACATGGATTTTTTTCAATAAATATATTCAAAGTTTTTTGGAGATCTGTGACAATTTGAAAAAACACTTTCTTTTCTCTAGCTTACTTTGTTGTAAGAATATACAGTATATAATACATACAAAGTATGTGTTAATCGACTATGTTATCAGTAAGGCTTTTGGTCAATAGTAGGCTACTAGTAGGTAAGTTTTTGGAGAATCAAAATTATATGCAGACTTTAAGTTTTGCACAGTCAAAATAAATAAATTAGAAAAAGTAAAAGAGAGGAATAGTTTTTTACCTATTCCTCTAAATAGGCAATTTATACCTTACTGAAGAAAACACAATGCTTCAAGTATCTGCTGTAAGAAGTTCAAGTACTGGTCATACCAAAAATCTAGCCACGCATCCTTCTATGACAGCTTCCCATTATAGTTCAGTCATTTAAATTCTAACCTCTAAACACAGATATGATTCATATTCCAGTTTGGTTGTTTTAATGACATTAAACATATGGACTAAAATACAATACTGCTAATTAGTATAAATGAGTTCACTATTATAAGATAGTATATGAATGGGAATTATAATACAGATGGAGCAAAAACAGAAATTCAAAATGTGATATTCCAGCTGATGTGACAATGTGGATTTTAAACTGTTTTCAGAAAACTGTATTGTTTATGAAATACAAAATGTTGGGGAAAACAATTTTAAAAAGAAACACCAATACATATAATCAAGATACATCACATGATTATGATCTTTTTTACCTGACTGATGAGAAAGAAAAATAAGGGCAGCAGTATACAGCAACCTCTGAAATGTATAGGGACTGATGGTGATGGCAGACATTCACTACCTTAAATTACATGCTGTAATAGTTAACCTAAAAAAATTTAATATAAAATAAATACTGAAAACTAAAATATTTATATATTTTCTTGAAATGCTTTGTATTTTCTCCATTTTGATTAGAGAGTTTGGAATTAAATGGCACAACTGACTCTGGAAGGATACACAGCAAACTATATTTCGAGGGGTTATGTCTGGGAAATGAGACTGAGAAGCAGAGCTTTTGACCCTGAGCTTTTTACATTTCTGTATTTGAGTAGTTTTGTTAAATTGATCATAGGTTACTTTTGCCATTAGGAAAGAAAGGCTAAAAAAAGAATACAACCAATAATTCAGAAACTGAACAAATGCCTAGCCTTCCCCTATCCCAATAGGGGCTGACCTACTGAAGGATGAGAAGTCTAGCCAAGAGGAGTGCAGAGCTCAGAGCATCTTGAGATCAGGAAAGTCTTGTTGGTTAAAGTTGAAAGCATATACCCCAAATGCACAGGGAGCTTGTCTGGCCAAGGCATGGTAAATCTGCTCACCTTTCAAGGTGCTCCAGTGGATTTCTGTATTTGTTCCTTTAAGATCAGGATACTCTGCCTCTGCTCAGGAGGCAGCATGGCAATCTGGTCTGCAGTCAGCTGAAGAACCTGCATGATCAAAGCAGCCTGTGCAGAGAGAAAAAAGGTAGTGAGTTTTAAGGGTGGCAGCTAAAAAAAAAAACCAGCTTCTGTCCAAAAGGAAGGATATCTCAGACAGAGAAAACAGCAGGCCAAAAATATCCCCAAACAAAACCAAACCAAAAAACAAAACCAGCTGGTGAGAAAAGGCACAATGAAAAGCACAAGTACAATGACACCTAAGACTAGAAGACTTGAAACAGACACCTTCATGAACCCAAAATTCTTGCAGACTAAGATGGTATCTGGGAGCCCTGGGATGTCTTTAATTTTTACTCTTTTGAAAGTCTTTCCTTATCACAAGGTTTTAGCCTTTCTGTCAGACATGAGCTCCCCAT